TTTGAGTTAAAATTTTAAAATTTTCTTTTCTACATTGCATTTGCATGAAAAAATTCGAAAAGTAAAAATAATTTTTTATTTTTTTCTTCAGTATTATAGAAAAAAAAATGAACACTTATTTATTTTTAGTGTTTACTTTGCTGCATATATAAAAAATGGGAAAAAAAACTAAAATTGAAAAAAAAGTGAAAGTTTTTTAGAAAAAACTTACATGATATGAGGAAATTACTTGCATTCAATAGCTCTGTAAAAATGGAAAATGAAAGTCCGAAGAATTGGATCAATAGTGGTATGTTCAGTAATAGTTCTCATAACTAGGGGTTGCAAAAGACTGTGACCTGAGATGCTAGCTATAAAAAGTAAAAAGAATGGCGTACCTATACACTGTGTGGGTGCTAATAATAGTTTCAAAATTATTTGTTTTTGAATGTTTAAAAAGAACCTTGATCGTCAAGTCTGGACCCACAGAACATGGCGCTATTTGTTGACACATGTTACCCTCATAGTAATAGAGAACCTTAGATCAGATCCACACAGTCAATAAAGAAATGAATAAGCTAGCAAAACTGTCATATTCGGGCTCGTCATGGGTGCAACTGTCGAATCCGATACACGAGCAATTTTCTGCACTTAAAAAAAGTTCAGAAAAAAATATATATATCTGCAAAAATTGATTGAAGAACTCAAAGTTGAAAAAAAAGATACAAAAATTCATGTTCACTCAAATAAGAAGCCATCTCAAAGAGCAATATGACAAGTGAAACCTGTGTGATACGATATGTATCGTTCTAAAAAAAAGTGAAAGCATATTGATATGATGAAAATCCTTAATGACTAACAAGATTCAAACAGGTAAATAAAGAACACAAAGATAATCAAACAAATGCTGAATGATTAAAAGTCACACATCAGATGAACTCGATGAAGAATTTCAACGGTAGAGGCGTGCTAGGGTTACAAGATCAATAAAACAGTTAACTAAAATAAGATCCATGCATACACCAACCTGTTTACAAAAAGGACTTATAACAAAGCCCAATGATGCAACACTTAAATATTCAACAATCTCTACCTTTGCGTCAATTGACTATGTAGCCCATCATCCAATGAATCGCTTCTGCACTTCGTTGATTTTCATAATAAAGCTTAACATCATCTTGCGAACATGGATGTACCATAATATCATATCAGAAAGGCACTTGACGGCATCCTTGTGGTTGCCCTAGAACTTATGATCGGGTCCAATATCAATTCCAAACAGGCAGTGTTGTATAGATGTTTGTCTTTGAGATAGAAAGAAGACTTGTGAAAGTCAACTTCTATTCGTTCTCTGAGTTGATACACTACGAACCATCCTTCCTTGTATATCATTCTTGGATTTAATTTCTCAAAGTATTTCGAAGCTTCCTTAGGAACAGCAGTCGACTTCTTCTTCAAAACAGTGGCAATATCCATATCCATCAATCCAACCTCTTGAATATAAGACTTGATCATAAGTTGGAGATGGGACATTACTGGCTCATACTTCTCTTTCGCTCTCAGCAACATGCTGTAATGTACGATTCATTCATTAGGATTCAAGAAGAGCAAGTATGCGAGGATGAATTCATAGGCTTGACAAGTTGATCCTCTCGCTACTTTAAACCTCGCATTGGGGAATCTTTCAGTCTCGACCAGCCTAGTGACCTTCACATCAACTATCTTGTTATGCGCTCCAAGTTTCGTACTGGGGCTTCATGTGCTTTAAGTAAAAGGAGAAAAACAGTTCATCGAAAATACTATCTGTGAAAGGATCATTCACAACCTTCACAAAAGCACGAAACCTGAATGCTTTTGGTGCTTTTGGAGTGATTAGAAGATCAAGTTACGAATCCTGAGAATTTTGACGATCAAAAAACGGAACAGGGTCCAATCAATATGGACTAGGCATCTCCACAACATCATGTTGAATGTTCTTCAAGGTCCACTTAGGAAATAATAACATTTTACTCTTGAGAGTGGCATGAGCTTCTTTTTCTGCCCTTTCCTTCTCCTCAACTTCCTTGATGATTCTTTGAGTTTTGTTCAATTCAGCATCACGAGCCTTCCCCCTTTTAATTCAGCTTCATCAGGCTCTTCATTTTCATCATCATCGATTATGGAATCGTCTTTGATCAACTTTTCCTTGCCTCTATACTCTTTCTTGATAATGGGATTGGTAAGGAATTTCGGAGGTGCTACTTTAGATGCACCTTCTCCCCCTTGTTTATGTTCAGACGATAGAGAAAAAATACCCTGTAAATGATACAACATTACAAAGATGGGGATCAATCTCTCAAAAAGGTGTTTTTGAACCATAATAGAAATCATTGAGTCCCTAGTCTCAGTTATATATGAGAGAAAACCAGTGACATTTGTAATGCAGCTTCACACAATTTCCCTCTCAGATAGCAAAGTATTGACCTGTTACTCAGACTGTTGAAGCTTTTGATCCAACACTTTGACCTTCTTTGTCATTTTGGCCAGGGCATCCATGAATTTATCTTCCATCGCCAAATCATCCTGAATCTTTGTAATTTGGAAAGTGAGGGATATTTGGAATGATGCATGGTTTTGCTGCAATCCGGTGCGAATCTTCTCTAAGTTGAGCTTCTCAGTTTTGAACATTGCTCCCAAGTTCTAAAGAGCTTCATTCGCGAATGTAGTGTTATTATTGTAGGCTATTTTTTAATTCCCCGTAAAGGTGGTTGTTTTAGCAATTAGTTAATCGACTTTTTCGTTCGTGGATTTGCAAACAGCAACAGACTCCAAAACTGCTACGTTTATCTTTGCAGCATTCTCAGCATGTTCTTTCATTATTCGCTGAAACAAGAACTCAATAGTTGCTTTTGAATATGCATCATAAGAGGAAGCCTTGGAGGCAAGAAGCAGTTGGTCAAGTTTCTCATGAATGGTTTTAAGCTACCCTTTTGAAACTGAGTCTTCATCTTCACTTTCAGTCCTGATCTGAAATGGACTATAAGTGAATCCGTCAAGATCATCATCATCACCAGCATCTCGAAAGATCATATCCGGATCATCATTGCGAATGGACAAGATGGATGAAGAAACATGGGGAGTGAAGACTGAAGTTATAGCCCCAGTATGAGATACGTTGACCGTGACTTCGGGGTTCATGGAAACAATAGGTGTTGTAGTTGTATCAGTTAAGATTGGTGTGGAGAAAGAAATAGTTGTAGGTTGAGATGATGTAACTGGAGGGGGACAGGGAGCAATTGTGATAGGGGTTGAGGTTGCTTGTGGTGAAGGAGGAGGAGAAGGAATAGAGTCATTAATAGTTTGGTGTACCTATAGGTTTGGAGTTACCTTTTTATTTCGAACAGTAGGCTCTTTGTTCGCAGTTGGGTCCTCAGTACGAATAGGCTCTTCCTCCTCATTGCGAATGGGATGATTTGATTCAATTTGAATATCTAACTCAGTCAAAAAATCTGACACTTTGTTTGCTGATGGTGTAGGGGTTTTTATTTGCGAGCCGGTTGTTTTCTTCTTTTTGGAGTAGAAGCAGATGATGTTGCTGGTTAGGCGAAGGTTTTGTAGCACCTGATAGACCTTCTGTTTTAGCATCCTTCTTTACTCCTTTTTTCGATCCTTTACCTACTTTCTTAGGTTTATCAGCAGCAACAAGGGCTGCTTGCATTTCCAGAGTGAGTGGCCTAAACACCGAAGGTGTAAGTTAGTGAAACCCTTCTAGAAGTTGGCTTCATGCAGGAACATCCCGAAACATGACCTTTGGAATAGATCCAATGAATGAGAATTTTTTGGCATCGGAAACTATTATCCCCGTTGTATGAAGGGTGGAAACCATGAAAGCAAGGGCATCCTGCATCGTTGGGATTTTGTGTTTGACAATTGCCCTGCGAACAATTAGGGACCAAAACCTTGCGCATGAAATCTCAGTGTGACGAGAAGTTAAGATAGTAATTTGAATGCTCTAAGCCTATAGAACTGCTCCAAAATCTATATTCATCCTTGTATAGAGACCATAAAGGTGGGTCATAAATAACTTACTCGCACAGTAAGACCCTGTAATCCTTTTAGAAAAGCTTTTGAACATAATAGTGAATAAGGCATTCCATTGGGGAGGAAGGTTAGGCTTGTAAAATTTCAAGAGTGTAGATAGAGTCTCCTTGTATCCCATTTGATAAAACATCTCCAGGAGAGCAGCACTGGAGATTGTTTCTAGATTGATCATGTTCTCTGATTGTGGAAGCCTTAGAAGTGAACAAAATATGGTTTTGGTGATGAAACTTTGTTGATCGTGAATATCAAGATAATCTTGTTCTCCTCCCTGATGTAGCTTGTAAAAGAACACTCCTGGGATAGAAGAGACATCGGAACATCCTCCATTTTTGTTAGAGCATGAACCAGTGGTGAATATTTGAGACACTAGATTATTGATACAAGATATGACTCATATTTGCAAGGATTCAGGTTGGAAAGATGATTTTGATTTGGTTTGACAGCCAAAAGAGAAGATTGGATAGTTTGATCTTGAACTGATGATGAAGTTGGCATTGTTGAAGGTTTGAAGAAGATGATGAACAGTAGATAGCGTTTTGTGTGCGAGATATCTTTTGATAATATTTTGAAAGTGATAATGAGAGAGGAACTGTTAAAACCTTTATATACTATTCGGTTTGTGAGGAAATCCGAAGAGAGAATGCATCGGGTACTGAACCGTCACTTGAAAAAGCGTGACTTGACAACTGTAGATGTCAGACTCGTGCGTCATGAGGCAGAAAAATAGCTGGCCGTTTCAAATTCTGCACACGCCTATTTGAATTCTTATCATCAGAACTTGCCTCGTCAACATGTATCTTTCGCAAGTAAATATTCTTTGTCCAACTATTACGAACCTTCGCTTTTAGAAAACTTAGGTTAAACTGCGAACCTGAAAGAAGTTATAAAGAACCATGAACAAGACTTTTGGAAGATCACTAGGATCTTCGTGCAAGAGTACCAAAGATAAAGAAATAAATCAAGTATATTTGGGAATTTTGTGATGTCTATGCGAAGACATAAAGTAGTTAATCCTGGGCAAAGATTTCTTCCTTCGAAGTCAAGAAAGACTAACAAGTATCTGTGTGGTTTCCCATTGAAATACGATTAGATGTTTTATAAGAAACACTATAAGGGTTCTTTTACTCCGGCTCATTGGGTGGCTAACTCTCCAACCGGACAACGAACTTGATATAAGAACAAATGTCAGATGAAGTACTCATGTGACCAGTGTAGTCAATTGAACGAGTAGGTTCAGAATTAATTTTGTAACTAGATAAAATTTTGAAATCTCAAAAAAAAAAAAAAAAAAAAAAAAAAAAAAAAAAAAACCTGGATCCTTTAGGAAGAAGTGGCGTGGTAATAGAACACCTCGTAAAGATCTCGCAAAAATAAAAAGAGATTTCATGGTACAATCCACAAAGGTGGAGTTTCGTTAATTCAATGCTGAAAATCTCGAACTTTTATTTTTTCACTGTGAACTCATGTAAGTGTATTCGATTTTTGGTTTCACTCAGTTCCTGGTGAATGAAGCTAGGATCAAGATCACAAATGCTTTGTAACCATAAACCTCAGTGGTATTATTGAGAGTCACAAGGGTTACATTTATTAATGTGACGGAAAATGGAGAAAGTAAAGGTGGTTAAAGAACCAAAAGTACCTCTGCTAAACTTAAATGAAGAAGCATGTAACTCTTAACTCGATGTGAGAAGAGTAACGTAGCTCGTGACTAATGTGAATTTAGCAACCTAATTATGAAGAAACGAAAGGTAGATTCGATTCACTAAGGCTTCACATAGATTTGAGTCGGCTTTGGAAGACATGCAACAACATGCTTCTAAGGAAACTTAGCTAATACAAAGATAAACAATTTTATACCTGCCCATCAACCGAATTGATAGAAATCACAAACATACTCCATGGGTTTTGTGTGTCAAATGTTTTGGTATTTTATCATATGATAGAAATAAAAGAAACAGGAAATAAAGCATAAAGAAACTTATTTTTGTAGTTTCGATTTTTTGAAAAAGAAATAAAACAGAAACAAATAGATTATTTTTGGATTTTGTGATTATCTGAAAAAGATATAAAAACAGAAAAAATATGAAATAAAAATAAGCCAAAGTATACATAAAGTACAAAAGGATATAAGCCACAATGAACAATGAATTGCGAACGACTACGAGCTTTTGCACCAATTCACATCGATAAAGAAAGTTGTGAATGAACAGTTGTCTGTGAAATATTGCGAGCGTTCGCACCAATTCTCAGTTACTTCTTTATTAGTGAAAAGTGGTTTTGGTACTGATTCATCTTCCATCATTCCTAGTTGTTGAAGGATTCTATTAAAGGTCGTTTCAGGAAGGGACTTAGTGAATATGTTAGCCAACTGATCAGCAGATCTTACGAAATGTATCTCGACGTTGCCATCTTCCATGTGATCCTTGATGAAGTGATACTACAGTACTATATGTTTCATCTTGGAGTGTTGCACTGGGTTGTGACAAATGCGAATTGCACTTTCAAAGTCATAATAAAAGGGGATTTGTTTCATACTCAAGCCATAATCACGAAGTTGCCTTTGAATCCAAATGACATGAGATGTGCACAAAGATGCAATTATGTATTCTGCCTGAGCTGTTGATAGTGATACAAAAGTTTGTTTCTTGGATTGCCAACTAACCAATTTACCATCAAGAAATTGGCATCCACTAGTCGTGCTTTTTCTATCTAAGACACATCCACCATGATCAGCATCCGAAAAGGCTTAAACGAAGACGCCTGAGTTCGTAGGATACCATATGCCAAAAGAAGAAGTCCGTTTTAGGCAAATGAAAATATGCTTCACTGCCACCATGTGAGGTTCGCCAGGGTTTGCTTGAAACCTTGCAAAATAACAAGCGGAAAACATAATATCAAGTCTACTAGGTATCCCCATGGAAAGGCCTTATGCGATTTGGGAAGAAAGGAAAGTTGAGTCCAAGATTTTTTGGTCCTTTCAAAATCATCCAGAGAATTGGAAAGCAAGCATACCGCTTAGAATTGTCTGATGATTTGGCAGGTATTCATGATGTGTTCCATGTAAGTTATCTGCGCAAATGCTTGAGCATCTATGATGAGACAGTTCCATTATCCGAGGTAAAATTGGATAATAAGTTCAGATATGTTGAAAAGCTTGAAGAAATTGTGAATGAAAGAACAACTAAGCTACGCAATAAAGAAGTAGAATTGGTGCTTATCAAGTGGAAACATCATCGAGGCCCAAACTATACTTAGGAGAATAAGAATGAGATAAAAGCAAAATACCCCCATTTATTTTAATCGATGTAATTTCGGGGACGAAATCCTCAAAAGGAGGAGGTATTTGTAACATACACGTTTTGAAATCATGTTTTGTAATGAATAAAATTGTGAAATACTATGTGAAATTGAGTGTTGAGTTCTAACAAATGGTTTTTACTAGAAATGAAGTAAAACTATGTTTAGAATCACTTAGAAAATATTGGAAGTCTTATGAGATTCCAATTAAAAGCCAAATAGTGAAATTTAGCAAAAATATAAAATTTTAAATAAGTAAATTTTATTATTTGATGTTGTAGAGAATCTTGTTAGAAACTTTTAGGCGAAAACCTCGTCGAAATCCGAGTTATAACGAAGAAGTTATGACCAACCGAAGATCCGCGACAAAACCTGCACAACGCCGAATGACGTAAAAAGTGAGTTTTTTGATAAACTACTTTTTAGCCTTAGTAATCTAAATGAAATTCGTAGTATTCGTTAAACCAAGAAATTCGATAAAAAGAACGCCAAAATCTGACTTCGTATGAGGAAGTTATGATTTTTCGAAATTTCAACTTAGCAGTAGACAGCTAAAAACTCGAATTTTAGATCGAGCGATATTTGACCGATACATCCTAAACGAGAATCGAAGGTCTCGTCATTTGTAGTACAATGGTAAAAATTCTAACAAAAACGGATGTCGGATGAAGAAGTTATGAATTTTTAACGGATTTTCCTGTCCCGGTCTGTTAAAAATAATAATATTAAAAATAAAGTCAAAATTAGCCGACGAAGTCTAAACGAAAGTTGTAGAGCGTAATTTAGCTACGCGTGCATATAAAGAACGTCAAAAATGGAGCTTGTATGCGATAGTTATGGATTTTAGAAGTTCGGGCTCAAAATCCGAGAATTCTGCATGAATAGTCACAACCACCGGAGACCCTCGTCGCAGCCACGTCACCTCGCACGAAGCAAGTGCGTCACTGGAGTCGTGACCTCACCTCCCAGCGCCACGTGTACAAGCCGGAGATGTGTCTGCCTTGGGTGTCCCTCGCAGCTACTGCCACCGAGCTGCTTCGCATCCGCTTCCATCTGAGCCTCGCTGGAGACCTACGCAGCTGTCTGCGTGTCTTCGCTGAGTCACCCTCCTACGGACCGAGCCTCGCAGATGCGACGTGGCCCTAGCTATTGATGCCACTGAGCTGCTTCGCTACCTGCTTCCTTCCCAGCCGACTTCGGCCTCGGCCCTATATAAAGGGAGGCTGCGAACCTTGCCGACTAACTTTGGAAATTTGCCACTTTTAGCCCCTCTTTCCATATTTTCTTCATTTTGACTCTCCTCGAAGCCCCGATATCGATTTTAGCACCCGAAACACGTCCCGAGACCCCCGAGAAGCCCGAAAATGTTATCTTTTTGGTTTTGAAGCCCTACCTTCGCTGAGCCCGGTTTTCAATTAAGCTCCCGATTTTCAACATAGAAAGACATATTTAAAGTCGAAGTGCTGTCCAAATTACTATTTTAACCCCCGGTTAACTTAAGATGAGTTCAATATGTAGGAAAAATTGTATGTTATGTGTTATATGTGCTATGTGCTTTTCAGTGTTATTATTCTGAGTTATTTTCCCGTATGATTTTATTCGTTATGTTTATAGCAGTTGTAATACCTTTGACCATGTGATTAGTTAAAGGACTTAGATTCACATTGGTACTGGTACGTAGCCTCTGGCCATGTAGAGCATGTCTCCGTAAGATAATGACTTCTATTTTATGGCATTGGCAAATGGTTAGATAGGACTATAAGCCTGAAATCTAAGAAGATGTTAATCAGAAATTGTATGTCTTCTATGCCATTTGAGCCAAACTCTTATTGATGTATATAAAGAATTGAAAAGTATATCTTTGAATAAAGTCTT